GAAGCAGGCATCCCCAGTCGTGTCTGCAACACGGCATCAAGTGACTGTTTGTTGCCGAGTGCAGGGTGGACACCTGAGGGAAGATTTGCTTCCATTCCTCGGGCCCTCTTCACGCCCGACAGTCAAGCATGTGCCCCGCAAGCGCCTGTTCGGCATGAAAAACCGTCTTGTTTTGGGCCACCGCCTCAATGCCAAATGATGCTGGCCAGTCGAGCACAGCGCAGCGATTGGTCGAGCAGCGACGCCGACGACGACGACGCCGACGCCGACGGCGACAGTGACGGCGACGGGTCGAGCAATGAAAGTGGCAAGAGCGTGGCGAGTGAGAGGAAGACGAGCCGATCGGCTCGGCGAGACGAATGCTCGGCCTACGCCGAGGCGAGGATAACCCTGGGCCCCTTCGGATTGACGGGCCAGAGCCGAGTCCCGCCGATGAGTCGCCTGCCCCCAGCAACGCCGTCCGCCACGCCCGGATCCGCGCCGCGCTCCCCGCTTCGGTCGGGCTCGGGCTCGGGCTCGAGCCCGAGTCCGGCCACCGGCAGTCCTGGCTGCACGCGGTTGCTGGGGCCGGGTCGCCCGACGGCGCGGGGCTCGAGCCCGATGCGGCGGAGTCCGGCGAAACGCGGCGCCTCGACGGACCGAGGCTTCGGCCCGGCCGGAGTGACAAGGGAGGCGAAGGCGAAAGCGAACGATCCGACACAGGCTTTGATTCCGGTCAGTGCATGTGAGGCCGGGCGGTTTGTGGGCATTCGAGTCCTCTTTGTCCCTGAGCTCACCGGCGATGATTGCCCCAAAGCACATCCACAAAACCGACTCCCGTTTCGCCAAAGAGGGGACGCGAAAGAGCCTTGGTTTACGACTGCTCAACTCGCATCTGTTTCGAGCGGAAGTGGCTAAGACACGAAGTGTAATCTGACTTTGATGAATCCCATGAGACAACATTGTTGGGGATACTTTCGTTTCGTATGAAGCGCGTGAAGAAGAGATTCCAACGTCGATGTCACTAGAAGAGGATGGCGGATTCGCGTTCTACTGCGTCCGTTTGGCCCCAATGCTCACTTGAAAGTGACGCAGTCCACAAGATGACCTCCCCATTTAATATGATGGCATCATCAGAGCTGAAACTCATTCTTGTCAAGTTTTACGTCATCAAACACCAAGTTATGATAGTAAGAAGTATGGGGATAATCGTGTGCAAGATGAATTTTCTCGCAATCGTATCAGTAGACCTGTTGTGTCTCATCCCGACTGGAGTGGACTGCAGCTTGGACCTCGCCTAAACTGGTCTGACTAGCACCTCCAGCGGGAGTCGAACCACGACAGAGCAGCATGTAATCTCAACACGTTACCCACTCCACCGCATTGCTACCAGTGGCCTTGGGTCAGAGGGCAGATGTGAATTTTAAATAAGGCCAGAAGTTCTCTCATATCACATTCTGTGCTGGGATTGTTTATAAAGTAAATTTATATTTTCTATAGCAACCTAGTCAAGGGAAACTGTCCTGATCTATCTTAGATCTATCTATCTATCTATCTATCTATCTATCTATCTATCTATCTATCTATCTATCTATCTATCTAT